CCGCCCCCACGAGGCCGCGCGTGCGTCCCCAGCACCACCTGCACGCCCCCACGAGCAACACGTGCGGGGTCCCAGAGGGCGCATCGCCCACGTGCCCAGCTGCCGGGCCCCGGCCACGCCAACGAGAGGCCGGGGCGCCCGGGCCGTGGATCGGGCTCCGGCCCGGCTGCTGGGGCCAGGTCGAGGTTCGGGCCGCGGACAGGGCGGGCACGGGCAGGGCTGCGGGGCTGGGCCCGACGCGCGTCCTCCCCGCGGGCCGGACCGGGGCCGGGGCGCGCGCCCGGGCCCCCGCCGGCCGGGCCGCCCCCCGCCCGCGGGCCCCCGGCCCCACTCACACGCGCGGCAGCTGCAGCGGCGGCGCCCCGCGCCTCTGGAACACGCCGTCCACGAACACGCCGTTCTTGCCAAGGCAGCGCAGGTAGAAGTCGCCGCCGGCGTCGGGCCCGGGCTGCGCGGACGGCTCCGGGGCCGCCCCGCCATGGCCGCCGCCGCCCGGGGGCGTGAAGATCTCGAGGTGGCGCCGCGAGATGAAGCTCGAGTGGCCCATGCTCACGTCCACCGAGCCCTGCGACGAGTTGCGCCCGATGGTCACCGAGCGCTTCTTCATCAGGTACTCGAACTCGCGGCCCTCGAGGCGCGCCACGGCCCAGCCGCCCGGCGGGGACCCGCCGCCCGCGCCCCCGCCGCCCCCGGCCCCGCCGCCCGCGGGAGGCCCGCCCGCGCCCGGGAGCGCCGCGGCCGCCGCCATGGGCCTGCGAGGGCCCGGGCCGCCTTCCGCCGCCGCCGCCGCCGCCGCCACGGAGCTGAGGGCCGCGCGAGGCCGCCGGCCGGCGAGCGACGAGCGGCGGCGAGGGGCGGGACACGCGCGGCGCGCTGCGAGCCGGCGGGCGCCGCTGACTGACGGCCGCACTGGCCAATGGGGGCGGCGCACAGCAGTGGGGCTACCGGCGGCCGGCCAATGGCGAGGCACGCCGGCCGAGCGCCCGCACGTCCGGCCGCGGCGCCCGGCGCAGGCGCGGCTTCCAGCGGCCTGGAAAACCCGGGGTAGAGCGTGGCCGGCGCGGAGCCTCGGGGCGACGGGCGGCGGGCGGCGGGTCGAGGTCGTCGCGGGCTGGGCGGGGGGCGCGTGACGTCTGCCCCGAGGAGCCGCGGCTCGAGCCACGGGGTGGGAGGAGCGCTCGTGGCCTGCGCGGGCATCCGCACGGCCTTGGGCAGAGCAGGGAACTGCTTCCCCTGCGGGAGGTCCGCGGGAGACCGCCGACGGCCAAGTCAGCTCCGCGGCGCTGGGACGCGGGGGGCGCGGCGCGGAGGCGGGATTGCGGGAGGCCAGGGGGCCCGGGGGCCCGGGGGCGCGAGGGCCGGGGCTGCAGGGGCGCGGGAGGCTGGGGACGCGGGGGTCGCGGCGCGGAGGCGGGATTGCGGGAGGCCAGGGGGCGCGAGGGCCGGGGCGGGGAGCTGCGGGACGTATCTCACCTGGGCCCAGGAAGGTGCTCGGAGCGCCCACGGGAGGCAGCGGGGCACCCCACCCCACGCCACCCCGACGGAACTCTGACCTGCTTAATTACGATCTGTGCTCGCAGTTCAGTCCAGAATTTCTGAGCCGTGACTGTGGCAGAACGTCCTAGACAGAGAAGCAAGTTTCATCAAGTATTGATGTATTGGTGGTCTTGAGCCAAGTATGGAAATGTCAAGCGGGAGAGCCTGTCATTTAAAAACAAAATACAGAGGTGCCGCGCTGGCTGGCTGGGAGAGCGCGCGACTCCTGACCTCCCGGTGTGAGTTCGAGCCCCACAGTCGGTGTAGAGGACTTGAGTCTCGTAAAAATAACAACAAAATACAGCCGAATGAAAGAACGAGCCTATGAGCAGCATAACGAGTGTTTCCGGATCGCTGATGAGCGACCGTGGAGCGTGTTGTTGCCTTGTGCTTTAGTGCACTCGTTCGGGACGTCACCCCTCGGCTGGCTTCCAGAAGTTTCGCCGGGGGAAAGGTATTGGTGGTGTTTGGAGTGTGTGCTGCATGCTGTTAGCAGACTTCCGCAGGCTTCCTCGAAATCCTCCCAAGCCTTGGCCAGCACCGGCCGGCCGTCGTGCAGGAAGCCCAGATTGGCAGACACACAGAGGGTGAGCTTGTGACACTGACGTGTTTCAGCTACGTCCCTGTAGTGTGGACACGAGGCACCTGCATAAAAGCTAGGTGATGCCAAGCCCTAAGCAAGCAGAAATGGTAGAGACCACGCGCTCTGAGGAGAAGACTCACCAAGTGCTGGGACAGCGAGGAAGGACTCCAAATCAGAGTCGGGCCTTCCCCCCCTTGCAAATGCTTGATAGGCCTCCACTGTACACCAGGCGCAGAGAGCGGTGAGCAACCAGGCAGCCGTGTCCCATCAGGGTGTGTGAAAGTAAGAGGACCAAAAGGAAGCCAGCCTTCAGACCCCGTGTGATGGAGGGGCAAGCAGCACCAGAAGACGCTCACAGGTAGGCAACCTGCTGCTGTCCATGTCAAAAAACTGAAGGCAGAGGTGCGGAAGACACACACGCAGACTCTTTACAAAGATTTGTTCTTTCAGATGTGTCCTGAGCATCTAGTTTATGCCAGACTCAGGTGGAAGAAGAGAGCAGATGCTTACAGAGGATCCGCGGTACACATGTGAATAAGTACACAGGACAGCCAAAGAGTGTGTGCTGAAAGGCAGCATGCTGGGGCCAAGAGACGAGGAGAGGAGGAGACATCTGACCTGACACCTGAAGGATGTGCACCAGAGACCTCAGGAACCTCCAGGCAAAGAGGAAGGGCAACTGCTCTGAGGAGGGAGTAGGCTGGTGTGTCCCAGGCCGAAGGCCCATGAACGATGGGAGGAGAAACACAGAGCATTTCAGAAGACACTTCAGAGCTTCTCATTTAGAGAAGTGGGAAACCAGGGGGCAGTTCAAGCAAGAAGTAAACTGTTCAAGCAGTTTAATTGTTAAAAATGTCAACCTTCGGGGCACCTGGGTGGCTCAAGTCGTTAAGCGTCTGCCTTCGGCTCAGGTCATGATCCCAGGATCCTGGGATCGAGCCCCGCGTCGGGCTCCCTGCTCGGCCAGGAGCCTGCTTCTCCCTCTCCCACTCCCTCTGCTTGTGTTCCCTCGCTAGCTGTCTCTCTCTCTGTGTCAAATAAATAAATAAAATCTTAAAAAAAAAAAATGTCAACCTTCTTGCCACATGTGACAAAATTGAAAACAGGGAGACCCATTTGTGTCTCTTGTAATGATTCAGACTATAGAAAGAAATAGCTGGACCCATGGTCCTCAAAGCTTTTTGCATAGTATCCAATAAACTAATTTTGTGAAATCTTGTAAGCCCCCACATTCAAGATAATAGCAAAATTTTCCATGTTTAAATAATTGGCGGTGGATGTAATTTCTCAAATATTATAAATATTGACTTTTCAAATAAATTATGGCATCATTCCTTAGATGTATGAAATGGATCCTGAATGCCATTGTGATTTGAAACCCACTAGCCTATATTTTATAAACATATAAACCGTCTCTTAGTTAACCAGTTTTATTAAATCCTTTACTCCTGGGGCGCCTGGGTGGCTCAGTAGGTTAAGCATCTGACTCTTGGTTTCAGCTCAGGTCATGGTCCCAGGGTCATGAGATCCAGCCCTGTGTCAGCCCTGTGTCGGGCTCTGTGCTTTAGTGTGGAGTCTGCTTGCCCCTCTCCTCTGTTCTTCCCCGCCCCCGCCCCTTACTCTCTCAAATAAATTAAAAAATCTTTTTAAAAAATCCTTTACTCCCAAACTCATTTCCATTCAAATTCCCCCACAAATTTTATCCTAAATACCATAAGTGTTTATGCTTGAGTATTTATTCATGAGCTTATTATTTACCCCTGGAGACACACACATACACAGATACGTACATTAATTTGCAATTCCTGCAAATATAAGTGTCATGTTAAAACATCTCTCTTGGATTGAATTAGTATTACAACTTTTGTTAACATAATTGATGAGAGCAATATAAACATGCAGGTTTTGATTAAGACTAAAAAGTTGAGTATATTGGAGATTTTTTTTTTTTAAGATTTTATTTATTTATTTGACAGAGACGAGGAGAGAGGGAACACAAGCATGGGGAGTGGGAGAGGGAGAAGCAGGCTTCCCGCAGAGCAGGGAGCCCGATGTGGGACTCGATCCCAGGACCCTGGGATCATGACCTGAGCCGAAGGCAGACGCTTAACGACTGAGCCACCCAGGCGCCCTGGAGATTTATTTCTTAATATGTCTGGGGCTTTTTTTCCCCTCAACACCTAGTTCACATATCCGGTGATGAGAATTGCTGGAGTGAGGCAGGGCGCAGAACCAGTATTATCCCTGTTTTTCATAAATGGCATACACGTAAGTAAACAGAAGTAGAGGAAGTTTCATTATAGCGACCTAACACTGTTCTTTGAACCTCTTCTAGTTGCAGGTGCTACATGAGGGTGGAGGCCTTGTAGGACTGGGCGGTGCTGGGTCTCTGTGCTGCCCGGGGAGCCCTGAGACACCACAAAGGCCACACCCTAGGAGTAAGGGCCACACACCAGTAGTAAAGGGGAAAGCAAAATACCTGAAATGAAGAGCTCATTTAATTTTCTGAACACCAGACTGGATACAGCTAAAGAGAGGATTTTCAACTCAAAATTCCATCCTCTGAAAACAGAACAAATTAGAATGAGAAAGAAAGATAACAGAAAGGAATATTAGGAACTGTGGGACAAGATCAAATGGTCCAGTGTGCGTAAAGTTGGATGTCCAGAAGGAAGGGAAAAGAAAATGGAGCAATAGAAATATTTGAAGAGAGAATGTGTAAGAATTTTACAAATTGGTAAGAATACACTGACCCTCAGATCCAAAAAGTTTAGCACCCTTGGGGTTTCCAAGGAGGACAAATTCAAAGAACAACACTTGGAGGCATATCACAGTCCGACTTCTGAAAACCAAAGGTAAAAATAAAAGTCCTAAAAGGACACAAAATATATTTTTTTAAAGATTTATTTGTTTATTTTAGAGGGAGTGTGCAGGAGAGTGGGGGGGGGTGCAGAAGGGCAGAGGGAGAGAGAGAATCCCAAGTGGACTCCCTGCTGAGTGTGGAGCCTGATGTGGGGCTTGATCTCATGACCCTAAGTTCACAATCAGATGATGACATGAGCCGAAACCAAGAGTTGGGTGCTCAACCGGCTGCACCACCCAGGTGTCCCTAAAAAACAAAAATTTAAGAGACACGTTACATTCAGGGAGACTTCATTGAGAATGACTTATCAAGAGCAGTGGGCACCAGAAATAAAAAGATGGCATCCGCAAAATGCTAAAGGTCAAACAGTCCTTGAGACCAGTATCCAATACCTAACAAAAATATCCTCAAAAATTAAGGTCGTAATTAATTTTGAACATCTGTAATAAAAGGCATTTTCAGATAAACAAAAGCTGAAAATCGTCACCAGAAGAGCTGGCCTTCGGAAAGATACCGACCTCCTTCAGGCAGGAGGAAAGTGACCCCAGTGGGGTCCCAGATCTGCCCCAAAGAGTGAAGGACACCTGAACAGGTGATGGCATGGGTAACTCTAAAAGACATTTAAATAATTTCTTTAAAAGATTATCAGATGAATGCTCAAAGCAGAATGTAGTCATGTGTTGTGGGTGCTCATTCCCCGCCATGTACTCCATGTACTGGGAGTGTCCCGACACAGCACATGTCCAGGACGGGAGCCACGACCTGGGGGCTCGCACACACTGCCAGTGTGGCCAGGGTGACTGAGAGCTGAGCTTTAAAGTTGTACTTGGTTATAGTTGATGTAACTGGATGTTTAAATAGCCACACGTGGCTAGTGGCTGCTAGATGAGACAATGCAACCCTCAGAAATAAAAAAAATATGATCGCAAGGAAACAAAAGTTTAGGAAGCAAGACAGTGTTATTTCACTGTTCCGAGGTTCTTATGTGGTTGATCAAATGCTGTATGATTTCAAAGTGAACTGTGGCAAGTGAAGGGCATATACTGTACTTTTTTTTTTTTTTAAGATTTTATTTATTTGACAGAGAGAGACACAGCGAGAGAGGGAACACAAGCAGGGGGAGTGGGAGAGGGAGAAGCAGGCTCCCCGCAGAGCAGGGAGCCCGATGCGGGACTCGATCCCAGGACTCTGGGATCATGACCTGAGCTGAAGGCAGTCGCTTAACCAACTGAGCCACCCAGGCGCCCTATACTGTACTTTCTAGCTCAGCCCCTAAGTAAGTATAAATGTATGTATTATATATAATGTTATATAATAACCTGTATGTAAAAACTACAACAGAGGAGATAAATGGAATTTAAAAAATATATGAATAGTCCAATAGCAGGCAAGAAAAAAGGCAAAAAGAACAGATAGAACAAATATAGAACAAGGTAGTGGCTTTAAACCCAACTGTGTCAATCATTGTATTAAATGTAAATGCATGGAACACTACAATTAGAAGCCAGAAACTGAGTAAAAAGGAAAAAAAAAAAAACCCACCTGACTTAAGAGTTTACAAAGCACACTTTCAATCTAAAGACCAAGACAAGCCAAAGTTACAAGGATGGAAAAAGAAGCATCATTCAAACACACTTTGTACAATCACCGGTGACAGTGGCATGAGACTGGGCCACCTCAGGTCAGGACTGTTAGGAGAGACTGGTCCGTAGTGACAGGGTCAGCTCAGCAGGAAAGTGCAAGAATCCTCAGTGCATATCAGAACATACCTACCAGCGTGCCTGGCTGGCTCAGTCGGTGGAGCTTGCGACTCTGGATCTTGGGGTTATGGGTTCAGATCCCACACTGGGTGTAGAGGTGACTTAAAGAGATGAAATCTTTAAACAACAACAACAACAACATAACTTTCAAATGCTCAAAGCAAAAATGGACAGAACTGAAATGAGAAACAAAAGAACCCACAGACACAGTTCAAGATGTTAACACTCGGCTATGTAGTTATTAGAACGAGCAGGAAGAAAAGTCTAGAAGGAAAAGAGAGTAAGACGAGGCCTGGCCCTTCCAGGGGGAATGTCAGGCAGGCCCCGCTGGAGAAGGCGCCGTCAGAAGTGTGTGTCAGTTAACAAGCACCATACAGTGTTTGCTTTGTGCCAGGTCCCGCTTAAAGGGCCTTTCCAGACACTGACTCGGGCTGTCCTCGTGGTGCTGGGATTTGACGGGTGCTGTGATGGCCTGCGTATCACCCTCAGGCAGCACAGGCACCAGGAGGGTAACCGGCCCAGGCTAGCACAGCCCGGACTGCTCTACACCACTTCACTTGGGGAGGCAAAAGCAGGGCCGCCTCCACATGCCCCTCACAGTGAAAAGGGGTGCTTGTTAATGTTATAACTGTGAATTTTGATAGGCTTTAAGAAACAAAAATTCAGAGCAAAATCCAGCACAGCAACTGGTTTCTTTAACGAACTCCTACAACCTGTGATTGAAAGTCCTGTGGCCCTAAGCCTATAACCCCATGTTTCAGCATTTCTGCCTGAACTGAAATACCTTCACCGGGAGAAAGCCAGACCCAGCAGTCTGCGTGTCCTGCAAACGGAGGCTCTCCCTGTTCAGCTCTTGCCCAAATTTCCATGTCCTCTCACTACTCCCGAGTGGTGTGGGGGACGTGTGTCTGCCCCAGTTGCTGGGCTCTGCCCACAGCTTGCCTGTGCCATATCCCCCCCACCCAACAGCCCCTTCCCTGTTTATTCCCATGCCCCACTCTTGTTCATACAGTTCTGCCTACACGCAGGTACCCTCCTCCCCATCAATCCAATTCCCTCTTGACGTAAAGTGCAGTTGGCACTTGAACAACTCAAGGGTTAGGGGCACCAACGCCCAGTGCAGTCGAAAACTTGTATAACTTCTGACTCCCCAAAAACTTTACTAATAGCCTACTGTTGGTAGAAGCCTTACCAATAACATAAATGGTTGATTAACAGTAAGTTGTATGTTAAAACGTTTTATATATTGTATATATTGTATTCTTACCAAAGAAAAGCTAGAATAAAAAACTGTTAGTGAAATCATAAGGAAGAGAAAATAGATTGGTACTACACTGCAATGAAAAAAAAAAACCCACCTGGGGCGCCTGGGTGGCTCAGATGGTTAGGCGTCTGCCGTCGGCTCAGGTCGTGATCCCGGAGTCCTGGGATCGAGTCCCGCATCGGGCTTCCTGCTCCTTGGGAGCCTGCTTCTCCCTCTGTTTCTCTCTGTCTCTCATGAATAAATAAATCAAATCTTTAAAAAAAAAAAAACCCACCTGTAAGTGGACCTACAGGGTTCAAACCCATGTGGCCCAAGGGTCCCCTGTGTTCCCTCACTGTGGCAACTGTGTGTGTGGATTTTGTAACCTGCAACATTTAGGAACTCTGGGTTGGTGATGTTCTTGCTGCCTTCCTTCCATTGTTACTTCATTTCTGTAATGTTAGGTCCTGTCTCCCCAGCTGGGGAGACTTCCATTTATACTTCTGAGTGATCAATGCCATGCCCATACGTGTCTGTCTCAGGAAATCGTGTAACTCCATTCATCCACTTGGCTGCCAGGAGCTGCTTTCAACTCGTCCTTGGCTGTGGGGTACACAAAGGAAACACATATTCTTATTTTGGCCAAGCTTTCAGAGAAAATATAAGGAATATTCATGAAAATATGGCCATGCTGATAATCAATACTGTAAATTTAAAAAGTATTATCATGGATGTAAGCACTAAATTAAATAAATGATAAATTTCACATTTTCTGGTTTTCTTCTTTCAGAAACACAAGTACTACGATGTAAAAAATTATATAACCATAAACTCTCTGCTACCCAGCCTTCTGAGAAGAATGCACTGTTCTGGTTGTTTAAACGCCCTGGGCTCTAGGGCAGGAGGAGGCCGTTGGCATGTTCCTCAGTCAGCGTCTGCCCAGCACCCGGCGGGCAGTAGGTATTTCGTACACGCATCACATTGCTGAACTGAACTGCAGTCTACTTGATAAAGAAATCCAAATTTAGGGGCGTCTGCCTTCCCAGGGTCCTGGGATTGAGGCCCGCATCGGGCTCCCTGCTCGGCGGGAAGTCTGCTTCTCCCTCTCCCACTCCCCCTGCTTGTGTTCCCTCTCTCGCTGTCTCTCTCTCTGTCAAAAAATAAATAAAATCTTTAAAAAAAAAATCCAAATTTATATGATCATGAAGTTTCAAATCGTTGTAATACAATCACAACATCACAACCACCTGACATCAAAACCTTACTGATGTGACCTGCCCTTCTTGACCATTCAGGGGCGTTCGGAGGGTCTCTCGGTACCCATGAGCATAATTACCAATGCCATTTTTCCACTGTCATGGTATATACAGAGAAGTACCCGTCAATATAGAGCTCACCTCAATTGGTTTAAGTAACTATATTGGTATAGATCACTAAACAAAAGCAACAGATTCTTGAATATTGATTTGCTAAATGCCCTGTTTGATCTATAGAGTATCATCCCAATCAAAACTTCAACTGGCTTTTTTGTAGAAATTGACAAGCCAATTTTTATATTCATATGGAAATGCAGGGGACCAAAGAAAATCAGAATGAGCTTGGAAGAGAACCAGGTTGAAAGGTTGGTGGCCGTATTAATGTAAATCAATAGAAAGCTGCGGTAGCTATAGGCACCAAATGAATATAAGATGCCTTCTCTAGGGCACCTGGGTGGCTCAGTCATTGGGCGTCTGCCTTCGGCTCGGGTCATGATCCCGGTGTCCTGGGATCGAGCCCCCATCGGGCTCCCTGCTCGGCGGGAAGCCTGCTTCTCTCTCTCGCTCTCCCACTCCCCCTGCTTGTGTTCCCTCTCTCGCTGTGTCTCTCTCTGTCAAAAAAATAATTAAAATCTTAAAAAAAAAAAAAGATGCCTTCTCTAATTTGGCTTTTAAAGAGAAGATTTTGGTAATCTATAAGAGATAGCTAATAAAGCTATAGTAATCAAATGAATACAAAGCTGTAGTAAAGTTGTGTGGTATTGGTATAAGAATAGACAAGTCAGTGGAACAAAATAAAAGGTCCAGAAATAGACCTCCACATACAGAATCAATTGATTTTTTAAAACTTTTTAAAAAAGATTTTATTTATTTATTTGACACAGGGAGAGAGGGAGAGAGAACACAAACAGGGGCAGAGGCAGAGGAAGAAGCAGACTCCCCGCTGAGCAAGAAGCCTGATGCGGGGCTCAATCCCAGGACCTCGGGAGCAGGGAGCCGAATGCAGGGCTCGATCCCAGGACCCTGGGATCATGACCTGAGCCGAAGGCAGACGCTTCACCGACTGAGCCACCCGGGCGCTCCTGGAATCAACTGATTTTCAACAAAGGTGTCAGAGTTATTTAACAGGGGAAGGGAAGTGAGACTTAAGTATGTGTTTGGTCTCTGCCCCTAGTTACTGACACAGAGCTCCTAAATCCCTTGGAATTTCCTATGTGATAGGAGCATTTTTTCTGATGAGGTGACTCTGAGTGGGCTCCTGGATGGAGGATGGTCACCAGGATGAGAAGTTGGAATGTTCAGCTCCATCCCCCATCCTCTGGGAGAGAGACTTGAGGTTGAGTTAATAGTCTGCTATGAAACTTCCATAAAAGTCTCTAAACTATGGGGTTCAGAGAGTTTCCAGGTTTGTGAAGGGTTGATATACCCCAACTTACAGGGACAGAAGCTCCTGTGTTCAAGACCCTCCTGGACCTCACCCTATGTATCTCCTCATCTCTATCCTTTAGAATATCCTTTATAATAAACCAGTGAACATAACTAAATATTTCTCTGAGTTTTGTGAGTTATTCTAGCAAATTACTGAACCTGAGAAGAGTGTTAGGAACCCCTGATCTGTAGCCGAGTCAGAAGTGTGGGTTCCCTGGGACCCATTACTTACAAATGGCGTCTAAAGCAGGGGGCCATCTGGTGGCCCAGAGCCCACAGTCTGTGGGGCCTGCACTAACTCTGGGCAGTTGGTGTCAGAACTGGGTGGAATTGTAGGACGCCCAGGTGGCATCCACAGAGGACTGGAGAACTGCTTGGTGTGGGAAACCCACACATTTTGTGTCCAGAATGTTGTGAGTGGAGAAGGAGGTTTCCTTCAGGAAGTCTATCCAACAGGTAGCACTGGGACAACTGGATATCCAAATAATAGTAACAACCACAAGTGAGAACTCACCACACCTTACGCCACACAGAACAGCCTGAGCTGGGTCACAGAGCTGTGCGTAATAGCTAAGACTAGGAAGCTCCCCACCACCAAAACATAATAGACGATCCTTGTGCCTTTGGGGTCTTAGAACCCAGTGAAAACCGTAAAAGGGAAAAGTGGATAAAACCAGAATTATGAAAAATGTTTACATTTTGATCCTCAAAAGACTAAGAAAAATACGAAAATATGAGCCACAGACCGAGAAAATATCCATAATACATATGCCAGACAAGAATACCTAAATAGAATTTAAAAGAACTCCTCATGTCAGGGCACCTGGGTGGCTCAGTCGGTTAAGCAGCTGACTCTCAGTTTCAGCCCAAGTCATGATCTTAGGGTTGTGAGATTGAGCCCCGTGTCAGGCTCTGCGCTCAGCGGGGCGTCGGCTTCTCTCTCTCTCTGTCCCCACACCCCCTGCTGCTCACACCAACTCTTTCTCTCTCTCTAAAATAAATAAATCTTAAAAAAAAAAAAAAAATGGGCGCCTGGGAGGCTCAGTTGGTTGAGCGTCTGCCTTCGGCTCGGGTCATGATCCTGGAGTCCTGGGATCGAGCCCCGCATCGGGCTCCCAGCTCGGCCAGGAGCCTGCCTCTCCCTCTGCCCCGCCCCCCGCTTGTTATCTCTCTGTCTCTGTGTCAAATAAAATATTAAAAATAAAAAATAAAAACATAAAAGAACTCCTGTAACTCCATAATTTTAAAAACTAAATTTTAAAAAATAGGCAAGAGGCTTGAGCAGCCACCTCACAAGAGAAGATAGATGAATGGCCAGTCAGCATGTGAAAAATGTGCACCATCTTTAGTCATCAGGGAAACGCAAATTGAAACCACAAGCACCTAACGGGTAGAACGGCTAGAATCAGTAAGACCAACCTTACCACGTGCGGATGATGATGTGAAGGAACTGGAACTCTTACACATAGTTGGCGGGAACACAGAATGGGACGACCGCTTTGGGAAACAGTGTGTCAGTTTCTTGTATAAAGTCACACACACACACAATCAGCCGTTCCACTCCTAAGTACTTACCCAAGAGAAAGCAAAGCCTCTGCCTGCAAAATGGCCTGTACAAGAATCTTCACAGTTGCTTTATTCAGAATAATCAGAAAGTGAAACAACCTGGGACACCAGGGTGGCTCAGTCAGTTGAGCGTCTGACGCTTGATTTCAGCTCAGGTCGTGGGATTGAGCCTCGCCTCCAGCCCTGCACAAAGCGGGGAGTTGGCTTGGGATCCTCTCTCCCTCTCCCCTCCCCTCGCTCGCTCGCTCTCTCTCAAATAAATAAATAAATAAAATCTTTAAAAAGATTAACAAATAGTAATTTAGAATCTAGCACAGTTTAAGGGGGCCCTGCCTTCTGACGTGGCGACTGCAGTTCTAGAACTGACTGCACACAGGTGTCTGTGACAGATCAACACGTGACTCTGACGTACATCAGTGGTGGCCAGTTGACTACTGGAAGGAAGCAGAGAGTGAATCGGCCGAGGTGCAGCGACAGGAGAGGTGAGAGCCAAGTGTGGTGCCCGGGCCGTGGAGGGGGCTGACTTACTGCCTGGTAACCAAGAAAGGTCCACAACAACATTCACCAACCGCCAACAGGAGCCACTCCCATTTCCTAGGATTCTGTCCTTTCCCATTAAAAAATTAGTAAGTATGTCTCGCTTTGTAATTTCAATTTAAAATTACTTTTAATTAAGGTTGGAAAACATAACTGGATCACTTAAAAGGTAAAAATTGGTAAAATGTTTTAAATTCCATCTGATTTTAGGAAAGAGTGCGCTTTCTAGATGAATAATACATACATTCCTGACTGAATTTCATCCTAAACAAATGAGAGCTTTAGAGATACATCTTATAATACCAATTTTTAGAAGAAAATTGATAAATGTACGGATATGAACTGGACCTGGAAGTGTTTCTAAGGCCTCCTTCATCAAAATGTCTTCTCCACAGACATCCCTCGGGGCTTCGGAGACAGGGAGAGGCACGTTCCCATCTGTGCACTCCAGGGGCAGGAAGGGGGTCGATGGGTGTGCCCGGATGTGCCCCCTGCACACACGTCATGGAAGCCATCACGGAGGAGCTACGTGTATTTACCTGCTTGGTTAAGGCAATGCTCCCAGAAAAGCAGTCGTCGGAAGGTGACCAGAGGGCGGGCAGGCCCTACACAAGTTGCCCTGCATTCCTGTGTTCTCAACCATGTCTATCTGAGTTTGGGAAGAGCACTAGGGGGCCTGCTTGGGGGCCGGTATGAAGGCACGGGGTCCTCGTAGTGGCTGGGGTCCCATGGCTGGCCACCCCTACACCAGTTGCCCTTAGCATCAAGGTCCAGCTGCGTCTCCTCCTCCAGGCCACCTTTCCGAATCTCTGTGCTGACGCTGGTGTCCCCCAAAGGTGCCCATGGAACACATACAAAACGCAGACTGTAGGACAGACATGAATTAAACAGCGCAGCTGACGGGGGCTTCTGAACAGAGGGACCTCGTTGCCCCAGCTCAGCCATCCCTGGAGCTCCCTGTGGCCTCCCAGCATCCTGGGCACGGCTGGTCCTCCCGTCTCTGGAGAGGAGACGCCGCCAGGCTCTGAATCCTGCACTACTTTACCGCCCACGTGCGTGTTCACTGGCACATCCACTCGGCAAGCGTTGCCTGTCCCCAGCCTCATTCCTGTGCCAGATGCCAAGGGCCCACCGAGAGCAAAGGGGACCCAGGCTGCCTGTCAGGCCAAGGAAGGCAGGAGGCCTGATGCAAGCCAGCAGCATGCCTTACCTGGAGGAGTAGCTTCTCACACAGAGCCAGCCCCTTCCCCGAGACCCTCCTCCTACCACACACACACACGCCCAGCCCCCCACATGCAAGACCCCTGCTTCCATTAGCCACCCTGACATCTGCCATGCAGTGAGAATTGTTCCTTCACCGGAACTGCCTCATTCCTAGCTCACAGTGGGACAATCACTGTGCACATACGTTCTCCTGATGGGGCTCAGCCTCAGTGGAGCTCCTGATTGCTCTCAGCACTTGCCTGATGCAGTTAGTTTGGGAAAGTGACATTGTGAATACTGATTCCAATTGGTTGCCATTTGTTGGCCTGGGCAGAAACCTTCCTGAGTTTATGAGGGTCAGGATGAAACCCCTCCTCATCCTGGAGGTCCGTGGGCCAGGGGTGGGACATGGAAGAGAAAGCAAGCCATTGGGACGGGTGCACGAAAGAGAGGTGATGCTCTGGAGAGCATTCTGATGGCCCACATCAAAGCTGTCCTGGGCACACGCCTGGTCCCTTTCTATTCAACAATACCTGTGTAGAGCTACACCTGTAGGAGACAGACACCACTTCATTTGGGAAACAAAAATAAAGAAAACAGAGATCCTGCCTCTAAGGAATGGGTAACAAGAAGAGAAACACCCTAATTTCAAAAAGTGGGCAAGGAGGATTTCTGATACTGGAGAGTGAATTCCAGAGGGGCAAGGAGAGACTAGAAGAAACTCCATGGGTCTGGGCCCGAGTGGAGCTCATTCTCACCTTCACGGAGACACACAGACAATCATAGACATGCCTGCATCCATGGGTTAGTGCACACTCCTGTACTTCCTGGCCCTGCAGCCCTATACAGCACAGACCCAGGGACAACCCATGGGCCAGTCTCTGCACCCCGATATGGCACAGGGAGGGATGCCCCACAGGTCAGTCTCTGCACCCCGATACGGCACAGGGAGGGATGCCCCACAGGTCAGTCTCTGCACCCCGAGATGGCACAGAGAGGGATGCCCCACAGGTCAGTCTCTGCATCCTGAGATGACACAGAGAGGGATGCCCCACAGGTCAGTCTCTGCACCCCGAGATGGCATAGACCTGAGGACACCCTGTGGGTCAGTCTCTGCACCCCGATATGGCTCAGGGAGGGATGCCCCACAGGTCAGTCTCTGCACCCCGAGATGGCACAGAGAGGGATGCCCCACAGGTCAGTCTCTGCACCCCGAGATGGCACAGAGAGGGATGCCCCACAGGTCAGTCTCTGCACCCCGAGATGGCATAGACCTGGGGACACCCTGTGGGTCAGTCTCTGCACCCCGAGATGACATAGACCTGGGGACACCCTGTGGGTCAGTCTCTGCACCCTGAGATGGCACAGAGAGGGATGCCTCACAGGTCAGTCTCTGCACCCCGAGATGGCACAGACATGGGGATACCGTGGGTCAGTCTCTGCACCCCAAGATGGCATAGACCTGGGGACACCATGTGGGTCAGTCTCTGCACCCCGAGATGGCATAGACCTGGGGACACCCTGTGGGTCAGTCTCTGCACCCTGAGATGGCACAGAGAGGGATGCCCCACAGGTCAGTCTCTGCACCCAGAGATGGCACAGACATGGGGATACCGTGGGTCAGTCTCTGCACCCCGAGATGGCATAGACCTGGGGACACCCTGTGGGTCAGTCTCTGCACCCCGAGATGGCACAGACACAGGACACCATCTGCACCATGAAATAGCAGTAAACACCATCCTCCAACAAAAGAACCGGAACTCCTTGGAGAAACATGAGGGAACTACCAAACTGAATTCCAAAGTGGCCACACCATTCTATGTTCCCATCAACTGTGTGTGAGGGTTCCTGTTGCCCCACCTTCCCAACACGTGGCAAGGGCAGCCTTGTTAGTGGGTATGCTGCATTTCCCCCAGGCTAAGGATGCTGGGCATCTTGTCCTGGGCTGACTGGCCACAATCAGAGCAAGGGTTTCTTGGTCACTGGTGGTGTTTTCAGGACCAGAGAGGTGTGTGTGTGCTGAGGGGGCCTTAGTGGAGATGGGTAGGTTGGAAGCATGAACGGGTCCAGGTCCCTGCCTCCTACAGGGAGGGAGTAGCTGGGACGACCAGGTCAAGTCTCTGGCTCTGATTGTTACCACTGCTGCAAGCACTAGGCCACGGCGCCGTCCTTTTCAACCCGACAGTGCCAGGTGTTGCTCTGGGCACTTGGCACACACCAACTCATTAAACCCCCAGCCACCATGGGTGACCATCGAGACTCTCACTCAGGATGGTGGGAGGTGAAGCCTGCTGCATGGGGTCACATGGCTGGGGTTGGACCCCTGGCTGAGGTGAGCTGGCAGCATTAGGGGACAGGTCCTTTGCTCAGCTAGGATGTCCACTCCAGTGCCACCCCGAGGCAGGGTAGAAGGTGAACACAGCCCTGCGCAGGGGGCCTGGAGAGGAAGCTGGGGGAGGCGCCTCTTGGGGTCTGCAGTGCGCTCCACCTAGCTCTGCTACGGCCGGCTGCCTAGGTTCTCACCCCGCCAGAGGCTGCCCCAAGGGGTCCTGTCCTCCAGCCCCAGACACCAGGAGCATGTGGGGTGGGGAGCAAGGTTTGAAATACTGAGCCAGCAGACTGCAGCACCCCCCCCCCAACATCAGATGTCCCAACTGAGCAAAGGTCCTATTCCATGAATGTAGGTCGGATGGGAGCACGCTCATGTAGGAACATGTTCTGCACAAGTAGCCCCATCATCCCAGCAGATGTTTTCCCTTTTCAGTGTCTCCGAATGCTTGTGCTGTGCGGCTCCGCTCGTAAGCACACAGCGGGAGGAGTCGTCCTGGCGGCGAGCCAGCGCAGACCACATCTTAGCGGTCTGAGGCCTCCTGTCCAACATCTTCAAGTTGCAGAAGAAATAACACTCAAACTGGTAATAGCACAGCAAAGGGGCCTAAAGGAAGCAAGGTGTCCCAGTGTCAGAACTCCACGCACTCACACGAGCCCCTGCATGTGCTGTGTGGTTATTCTGTCATACCCGTCACAGAGCCCAACACCGCAGAGGGGCAATTTTCAAATGCATTTGAGTTGCAGTGTTTGCCTTAAGTTCAGACTAACTATGCATACTTTAAAATACTGATCACAGGAAATCCAAATACAACCAGAAGGAAATATGTTACTGAAAGGAAAAGCTGAAATGAGAAGTCTGGTAGACACTTCAAAAAATCAAGTGTATCACAATGGACACCAAAAACACTAATGGTCAAAATCATGAAAGGAAAGAATCATGATAGCTAAGAAAATACGGATAATGGAAATAACACAGAAATGAAAGATATTCTGAGAACCAGGACGCAAGAAAGCAGAAGGAAAGAAAAGCAGGAGGAGGGGCGCCTGGGTGGCCCAGTCCGTGAAGCGTCTGCCTTCGGCTCAGGTCGTGATCCCGCGCCCCGGGGTCGAGCCCCGCATCGGGCTCCCTGACCCTGGCGCCCCGGGGTCGAGCCCCGCATCGGGCTCCCTGCTCCTGGCGCCCCGGGGTCGAGCCCCGCATCGGGCTCCCTGACCCCGGCGCCCCGGGGTCGAGCCCCGCATCGGGCTCCCTGCTCGGCGGGGAGCCTGCCTCTCCCGCTCCCTCTGCTCCTTCCCCTGCCTGTGCACCCTCAAATACACAGATCAGAGGAACGTTTCGTTAAGTGCACGGATTCTGTGGCGTTTATCGGCTTTGTACAACGTGCGGCTTATCACCTTTCTTCCTCCAATCCACCTCACCTCCACAACTAGCTGTTTTTCACCAACACGGTGCTCCGGAGCGCACAGGCCGAGGCCCCGCCCACCCCGCGCTGGCCCCCGCCCTCCCGGACCCTGACCCGCGGTGGGCGAGGCTCCCACGGACCTGGCGCCGCGGACCCGCTTCGGGGGTGGGGGGAGTAAAGACGAGCAGAGTCCGCGCCGCTCTGGTGGCGAAGGCAGGAGTGTTGAGTCATCACGGCCCCCGGCAGAAGGTGGCCGCCCCGAAGTCGCTACGTTCCTTCCCACGGCCGCGAGGGCCCAGCCGCCCCGCGCCGCCCGCCCCGCCGCCCTGCCAGACCCTGGTCCCCGGGAGCGCGCAACCTCGCCGCGCTCCGCAACGCCACACCGTCGAGTGCGCACGCGCCAACTACGCGCGCCTGCGAGGGGTGGGGCGGCAGCGCGAGGACGCCGCGACACGGGCGTGCGCGGGAGCACGTGACCGGCCGCCCACGTGACGGGCGGCGGCCGGGCGGGGCGGGGCGCCTGTGTGGGGGTTGGGTCGTGAGACGGGCTGGGCCGGCGAGTCCACGGGTGCGCGGTGGCAGACGCGGGCCGTGACGGGGGCCCGGGGTGAATGAAAGGGCTCCTGCCCGCCAGGGGGACGTGGCTTGGCGCCGACAGCGGCGCGAGCTCCTCCTCGGCGACTGGGCGACCTCACTGGCTGTGCCCCGGTACCCCCGCTCGCAGGACGGTCCCGACATGGGCTCGGACGCCCCTTCCTGGGGTCGCTGCCTGGCCCTCGCTGTGACGCGCGTGGTGTGACCACGAGCGGCGTCGCCCGGGCTGCGGGGACGGTGGGGTCCACGAGCCCAGGTCCGGAGTTAGGGTCCGTTCCGACGTGGCCTCGCGCGTCTCCTGCAGGGAAAGCATCAGCGAGGTCACCTGCCTTTCGGGTGGCTGGCCGTCGCCCCCCGCGCCCCCACAACCACTACTGGGGTTTACAGGTGGCCGCTCAGTCATGTAAGCAGGCGCTAGGGCGTCCTTCCTTGTCCCCAGGCCGATTTGGTCCGAGGGTTAAGCAACCGTCACTGGGATGGCGGGACAAAGGGTCTGACGGACATCTGTAGGTTCTCTCGTCCACCTGATTGAGCCATTTCCACAGTGGAGGCCTTTTGACGAGTTTTCCGGTGGAACTGAATCTTCTCAAATTCTGGGCCCCTTCCAGGAAGTCCGTCCACGCACTTACGTCATCAGCAAGGCTCTCTGACACCAATCCTCGAGTCCCTGCACCGGGGCGTCCATACAATGTGCTGCTCGGTGGGGTTGCCCTGTCTTGTCCTGAGGCCACCTTCCCGTCTCTAACTGATCCGTGTGCCTGGATCTATCAGGCTCGGACAATATCCTCAAGACCCTGTGGTGGAGGTTCAGGCACAGCACAGCCCTGTGGGTGCATTTCAGGGAGCCTCACCCCCTGTGGCAACTGCCAGCCCATCTTGATGGCTGCTCCTTGTGCCCTCCTGGGTGTGTCCCCAATGCTGTGGAAGTCCCTGACAGCTGGCTTTGCCCAGGCCTCCACTTCAGGTCCTCCTTCACCCTCACTCTCCCTTCAGCGCCCTTGGTGGTCGTGGTTATACATCTGAGGTTATAGTTGTCCCCCACAGTTCTGGATGTCTTATGTTTGCTTCCAGATTCACCTCTTCTCTGAGACCAACCAGGAAGCTGGAGGGCAAGAGAGCCAAGGGGCTGCAGCCAATGGGAAGCACTGGCAAGGAGATTAGAGGGGAGGGAAGAAAGGCCGAGTACTCCTCAGCACTCTCCTGCCGGCAGGTGGGCTGACACTCCACTGAGGAAGACCACTACTCCTGTCTGGTGCCCACTCCATCTGCCTCAGCACTCACGGGGGGCAGGACCTGCTCCCTGGCCTCAGCATTCTGGCTGCCCAGTGCAGTGGCTAGCGGTGGAGTGCTCACTAGCCTCCTCTAACCCTGCTCATTGAGCTCCCTGCTGCCATGTCCTTTGAGCATCCTGGCTGACATTCACAGTTTGACCTCGGCAGTTTCAGGCTGTGTGTCTCTTTCCTGATGCTTCTGTTCACTTGCAAGAGGAGACCACTATCTACAACGGCAGGTTCTGTACATGCTTTTTACTTGAAAAGGTTCAACATGAAAGATTTTTTTTTTTTTTTCTCAAATGATTTATATCCAGAATGTTCTTGGGGGAATAGTTCATACTTCTTTGAAAGGGCAGGGTTTTATTTTTTTTTTTTCCAAATTATAAAGATGAACAGCAAGATGTCATAACACTTTAAAGCAGTTTTGTATTGGAGAAACAACTTTATAGGTCACAGAAAAGAAGTAGACCAAGAGAAGTAGAATTAAAAGAACAGTTTATTCATAATTGTGTAAATTAGGAGTCATTTTCAAATGATGGGGAGAAACATTGTTTTTGTTCCTGTCCAAAACCCAACCATCACTACCATATTACAGAACCTGCCACCACGGCCCAGGGACATGGACACTCTGGACTGTGACTGTTGTGTTTCTTGACTTTTTTGGGTTTTGTTTTTAACAGCAGAAAAGGACATGAGTTCAGAGATTTCTTTCCACAAGAAGTTGAAGGAGGGAAAACAGAAGTCCACTTTATTTGTAAATGAGCATTTGCCTTGCCCTATTCTGGCCCCTGCAGGAGCCTGCCATCCTCATCCCCCTGGCCTGGAGGGGCTGTGACCCCCAGACCTATCACAGTCAGGGCCTGGCCAGGTGGTGCCAGGGGAAGCAGAGTGGCGCAGTGGAAGCGTGCTGGGCCTATAACCCAGAGGTCGATGGATCGAAACCATCCTCTGCTACATGCTCGTCTTTTCCTGGGCGGTAGCCTGAAGACCTGTGCTGTCCCTGTCCCCCTTCCATTTCCCCATCAGGACGTGCAGGACTCATAGCTGCAGCCGGTTCCATGGAGTAATGGCCAGCACTCTGGACTCTGAATCCACTCTTCCGAGTTCAAGTCTCAGTGGGACCTGCACAACGTTTTGGTCCCCCTCCCCTTTTTATATCCTGATCCCCACTTTGGCGTCCCTTCTTCCAGGTGCGCTCAGGCCAAGGGTGGCCCCACGGTGGCCCTGGTGTCTTGTGGTTCTATGGTGTAATGGTCAGCACTCTGGACTTTGAATCCAGCAATCCGAGTTCAAATCTCGGTAGAACCTGCCTCACCTGTGGCCCTTTTGTGCCCACCCCACCCCCCAAGTCCCCAGTAGTGGGCAATGCAATCCTCACCAGGACAGTCCGGTACCCTCCAGATCAGGGTCTCCTCTTTTGAGCTCATGTGGAGACCCCTGGTTGCAGCCTCCATTTTACCCCACCGGCCCCTCCATGGTCACTGGTCACCTTTTCCTTGTGTGTCCACGCACCCAGGACCCCTCTTGTCCCTGAGCACTGCTGCCTGTGGCTCAGAGGACATGGTCTGGTGCAGGGAGGGTTGACTCTGAAACCTCTGCCCTCAGGTGCACAGGGCCCCAGGACTCTTCTTGCTCCCGCTCCTAAGTACACCTCTCCAGAGACCTCCAGGTAAGGACCCTTGAGCTGGCTTGTGTGGGTGGCTCGCCAGAGCTCCTGCTCCTTCCCCAGAGGGAGCACATTAGGGATTTCCTGATCTCTGTCTTTTCAACATGCACTTCCTCTCTCTAGCTTGACTTTAAAAAAGGGAGACCAAAAGGGGCTCATACTGTCACTTTCAGGAAATGTTGAATTCCTTTTATTAGAGCAGATTTAAGAGTTCTGAGTAAAGGGAGAAGAGCCTAACTCTGCATCTGCTTCCCTTGTGACCTTGGAAAGACCCTGCCCTCTTGGGATATCAGCCTCCTCATCTGTACAGTGAGGAGAGCTGGATGAGCTGGTCCCCTGGGGTTCATTCCAGCTCGCTGCACAAATGTGATTTCAATCCTGCCCCTGACTGCTATGGGACCCTGGGCCCCAACGTCCTCCTCATTCCCATTCTCCACTTGTCTTTGTGAAAATGGGCTCATGTCCCGCTTGGGGCCCAGGTGAGGGCCCAGAGGAGCCTAGCTCTCCACACTGGCTCACGTATTATGACAGGGGCCTATTTTGAGGCCTCCTTGGTGACATACTGCAGGTATTTCCCTATTTGTGCATTAAAAAAAAATCTGTTTTAACTGCCTCTCGAATCCCACTGTTTGGATGTACAATTACTTAACCATTCTCCACCAAGGAACCTCGTTAGGTGTTGCAGGTTGTTTACTCTTAATGCAAATGTCCTAAAGAATGTCTTGTACTTGCCCACTGGGCACCTGTGTGCGGTGCCGCTCAGGGAAGGTTCCCAAGAGTGAAGCTGCCAGCTGCTGGGCGGGAGCCTGCCCTTCTCGCAGACACCAGTACAAACTCCTAGGTCTATGTTTATGTGTACGTGTGTGCATCTGAGTGCACAGAAGTGTGTAGACCTGTATACGTATCTGTGTGCACGTATACGTGTGCAGGTCGATACGGGGATGTGCATGGATGTGTATTCAGTTTTCAAGTCAGTCTTCCATCCTGGCACTTGCTCCTCGTTTTCGAAATATCTGGCTTATCCTTATTCAGAAAATAAGGTGCCAGTCTGGGGGTGCCTGGGTGGCTCAGTTGTTAAGCGTCTGCCTTCGGCTCGGGTCATGATCTCAGGGTCCTGGGATCGAGCCCCACATCGGGCTCCCTGCTCCGCGGGAAGCCTGCTTCTCCCTCTCCCACTCCCCCTGCTTGTGTTCCCTCTCTCACTGCCTCTGTCAAATAAATAAATAAAATCTTAAAAAAAAAAAAAAAAAGGTGCCAGTCTGTCCAAAAGGACCTCATACGCTCTGCTTCCCTGAACACAGGAGTTGGGGTTCACTTGCTTTAGACAAGTGCTCTGGCCGGCTGGGAACAAAGCCAACGCCTGTGTGGAAGGAGGTGCACGTAAGTACCAAGGTTGGGCCCCCGAGCTGAGGGAGCCCATGTTGTTGGCCAAGTGGCCTCGGTTCCCTCACCTAACACATCCGACCTAGACTCAGTGTGAGTCAGTGGTCTTTCCACTGCGGACAAGTGTCCAAAGTCTGCTGCTCAGCTTTGGGCCAGCAGCTGAGGCCACAGGACAGCCTCCCGTCAGCGGCACCACCTGAGAGCCTGCGACAGGCAGTGCCCTCGCTCCACATCCTCGGCCAGCATCAAACTGATGGTGTAGGCAACAGGCGTTCTGTTCCTCACTCATGCAGAGCTGAAGAGGAGGGACCGGTGTCTACACTGGCGGGAATTGGCCCAAGCTCTAAGGCCAGGTGGAAATGGCATTAAAAATCTGGGCTCTGATATGGTCCAGAGCAGGGCACTGGAGGGCAGAGCTATTCGCCACGATGACCAACACGCACGCAAACCTGCTGGACACGTTCCCGGTCTGCTAGGTGGTGACTCGGAGTACTATAGCCCTGATAACAGCATGCCTATGGAGTGGCCGCTGGGTGTGATGTCAATTTGGGCTTACCCTGTCCTCCTCCTCACACTGGGACCCACTGCTCACTAGCAGACACGCTGTGGGCATCAGCCCAGCCTGGCCATGGGGCCGCCCCCTCTTCTCTGCACGTTTGGCTGGAGTCAGGACGAAGGTGGCCATGACCCAAGATGAGCTGCGGAGGAGACCCAACACCCCGTGGGATAACCCCCAGTCTGTCAGGCTCTGGCCACCGGAGGTCTTTGCTGGAGCTGGAAGGGGCTGCTTTTGAAGCAAGAGGAACTGACCGCACACTTGGCTGGTGGCTTTGTAGGCCCACTGAGGAGACACAGGAGGACAGCTCTCCTGCTCTGAGCCAGTTGTTGGCTGGAGAAGTGCGAGGCGAGGTGAGGGAGGGCGCGCCCCGTGTGACACACCCTGGCCCCTGGCTGGGAGGAGCAGCAGGTTCACGGATTCTCCACACACAGACCCACGCTTCAACTGTTTATTCCATAATCAGTTACCGTAGAGGATGAACCCGATTATGAACAGACTGAAAGAAATACACAGTTTCACACAATACCCAGCTATCACCCCAGACAGGTACACTGGTACGACACGATACAGAACACGATGAGGGGAACGGAGCCCGCGGAGGCTTTACGGCATGGAGGGTTCAAGAGGAGCATCATCACTCGTGTTAACAAAATCCAAGTGCTTTGAAAATCCAACTCCAGGCCGTTGGCAGAGGTTTTTCATTTCAAGGACACGCGCTGACGTGGAGCGCCATGATTCCGTACATTTCTGGCTGCTTGCAAGCCCTGTTTGTGGGTCAACTGCTTTCCCT